GGTGGCGCAGTGGTTAGATTGCAGTACTGCAAGCTACTTCTGCTGCCTGCCTGTCGGCTGCCTGCAATTTGGCAATTCGAATCTCACCAGGCTTAAGGTTGACTCAGCCTTCCACTTCCACCAATGACTTACTTAGGATTTAAAGGTGGTTCCTCCACACTTCACAGTTTTGAGATGAAACATGGACAATACCTTCTTACTTATATCCTATGCTTCAGGATTTCTGTTCCTGGGCTCATTGTAATCCAGTGTTTCTCAACCATGGCAACTACAAGAAGCAATGGGTGGAAACTAATCAAGGAGAGAAGCAACCTAGAACTAAGGAGACATTTCCTGACAGTTAGAACAATTAATCAGTGGAACAAGTTGCCTTCAGAAGTTGTAAATTTTTCAACACTGGAATTTTTAAGAGATTGGATAACCATTTGTCTAAAATGGTATATGGCAAGGATGTCAAACTCAAGGCCTGGGGCCCGGATCCAACCTATGGGGTGCTTAGATCTGGCCCGCAGGGCTGCCCTGGAAACAGCAAAGAGTGGCCTGCAGTGCCTCTACCAGCGAAAACAGAGCTTGGGAGGGCCGCGAGCACTTGGGCCACCACAAAGGCCTCTGACATCAGTGACATTGAGCTGGCCATGCCCACCTGGTCCCCCAAGGTAAAAAACAATATTGATATGGCCCTCAATGAATTTGACACTCCTGGTATAGGGTTTCCTGCCTAAACAGGGAGTTGGATTCGAAGACCTCTAAGATCTCTTCCAACTTGATTATTCTATTTCAAAGTTTCTGATGCCTATAGTGTATTACTTGAGTTTTTTGTAAATAATTTTTATGCTGATTTGTTTTGTTATTTAATTATTTCAGAATAATTCACTGAATGATAACGATACCAAAAAGGTTATTATTGATCAAACAAATGAGGTTGAACAAAAGGAGCATGAACCAAAAGGAGGTAACGCTTTGTGTATTTGGCCCCCATTACTAAGTACTAGAATTTTTCATTGAGTTTTAAAAAAAAAATTAGACTATGGAATGGGAAAAGAGTGACATAAAATGGGATCTATTACAGTTTTTAATAGAAGGCCAATTGGTGTGTTTTGATTGTAGTAGATTCTTTATTGATTCTTCTTTTGTATCTTAAGTTTTAACACAGACATTGGAAATGAGGGAAAACTTTCAGAAGCAACTCCAAGAAATCATGACTGCCACAACCTTAGCAAAGCTGCAAAGACAAAGGAACTCTTTATCTCGGAATGGTTTTGAGAATTCTCCAACAACTCCAGATGGACCTCGTTCTGCTCGGAATGGCCGCAGTAGAATTTTGGAAGCTTTAAGGTAGCTACTAGCTAGAATATCTTAAGATTTCAGGTCTGTTATCTTAGGAAAATTGCTCAGAGCAGCTTACGTTATGTCTTCATTTTTTTCCAAACACTTGCTGTATATCCTCATGTCCCAGGCAGTCACATGATGGAGCAATTGATGTCAATACTGAGCCATCCCAGAATGAACAGATAATTTGGGATGACCCTACGGCAAGAGAGGAGAGAGCAAGGCTTGCCAGCAACCTTCAGTGGCCTAACAGTCCTTCACAGTATTCAGAACAAATTCAAACTACTGCAGTGCCCCCAGGAGAACTTTCACTTAGAAAGTCTTTGAGTGATGCAGAAATTATTGAAATGGGTAAGTTGCAGCATAAATGGAGAATGGCATTTCAGCATTTGAGTTTGGATTTCATTATTGCATGAGAATCTGTAGTTAGAAACTGCACAATTTAGCTGCCTTTATCATTTTTTATTTATGACATGGAAGATATCTGGGCTGAATTAGGTATATTGCTTTCATTTCAGTGCTTGACAATTTGTGGAGCTTCTAAAATTTATATAGAAAAGCAAAGAGTCACACAGTGAAGGTTATCTGGATTATTTGTTATTTTGTAAATGAGCACTTTAAATGCTTTATTCTTTTTAATAAATCTGCCTGGAAGTTATTTTATTTTAATGTTTTTATAGTCTTGATGAATTTGAAATCCTTTCTCATGCAAAATGTTTGGATTCAGAAATGTGTACTGAGACTGAAATAGAATTTAGAACATATGTGTTTGGATTAACCTAATGTTTATAATTGATATTGATTATTTCCTGATTGCTTATTTGTACCCTATGACTATCATTAAGTGTTGTTCTTTATGATTCTTGACGAGGTATCTTGTCTTTTTATGTATACTGAAAGTACATGCACCAAACACAAATTCCTTGTGTGTCCAATAACACTTGGCCAATAAAGAATTCTATTCTATTGTATCTTATATGTAATTGAGTTTACATTATATATATTGTTATTTCATGTGTAAATAAAGCTTGGGTTATAGCTTTAATCATGTTAATTCAGAAGAAAATTCAATTTACGTTGAAATAGCTACCTACTATTAAGTAGATAGCTATCTTGGAGTATTGGAAATGACTCATGTGAACTTTGCTTTTCAGTATTCAGATTTAAATCATGCTCCTTTTTTACTGGTCCATTTTTATTTGCTTTTACTCACTAAACTTCAATTTCATCAAATATGAAAAATCATGCACTAATAATTTTCTGATTTAAGGGATTAATGATTCAACGAAAATTGATTCAGTGGAGGTTGCAAGTCTTCTAATTAGTAATCCAGAAACACCGATTAAAGAAGATCACCTGATCCCAACTCCATTGGCTCCAGCTATTGCTTTTCCATTGGCAAATCCTCCAGTCGCTCCCCAGCCAAAAGGAGATGTATGTTCTGTCATGGTAAATGAATACATAGAGTAACACATAAAGTGAGAAATTGTATCTCTAGTTTGAAGTATTCTTAGGAGCTACCAATAAGATAATATGAAATTATAGATAGTAGATGTACAAGACAGAAAAACATGTTCATTTCAGAAGTTTCCCAACAGTTACTTTCAATCTTGTAATTTCTTCTATTTGCTAAAGAGTAATGAAGATATTGAATCCAGACAAGAAGTAAGTTGTGACTCGTAGTTAAAATAATGGGTTTCACTTCACAGAATTTGAATTGGCTATGAATTTAGTTCTCTCATCCCCCAAGTAGACCAACGCTACAATTTTTTAAAATGTTTATGAAAAATCACCTGGAAGACAGTTGAACAGGCCTTTCATGAAACTGATCAGTTTAAATTCTCTTCTTAGCCTGTCAGAAATCCTTTTCCTTGATTAAAATTTAGTTGAAAGCCTGGGAAAACTAAAATCCTGCCAATGCTGCAAAGTTCAACGTAAACCCTAAGTTAAACATCAAAATTCCCAATAAATATTCATAGTACCTAAGTCTAATATTTAATTGCAATTGACTATTTCTGACTTTATTCTTCTTGATTAAGAAACTAGAAATTGGAATTTAATTGGTCATCTTTACTAGTATAGAGAGATATATGCATGCCTTTAGAATGATCTAGAGCAGGAGTATCAAACTTGCAGCATCATGTTGTCATGTGATGTATTGCAACTTCCCCCCTTTGCTAAAAGTGGGGTGGCCAGCACCTGACGCATCTGGCCTGCGGGCCCCTAGTTTCACACCGTGATCTACCAGTGTTTTTCAACCACTGTTCCGCGGCACACTAGTGTGCCGTGACATAGTGTAAGGTGTGCCGTGGGAAAAACACTTTATATATAGTCAATATAGGCACAGAGTTAAAAAATTTTAACATTTTCTAATGGTGGTGTGCCTCGTGATTTTTTTCATGAAAAAAGTGTGCCTTTGCACAAAAAAGGTTGAAAAACACTGCTCTAGATTTGCCTTACCCAACGACGCCCAGGATTTGACCATATATATACAGAACTTCCCTGAGCAGTAGATTAGCAATT